CAATCAAAGCGTTCGTCGCAACAATGTTTGCGTCGTCGAAATTTTGTTATACGACAGATTGCGTTTCGCTCCCGGTATCGTCGCGATGGTGACGCGGAAAGGTTCTCAATTTAATTAGGGGCGGTTTGGAACATGATGTAGACGTAGGAATTAGGCGATGACATGCTGTTACTGATCGTTTAGCGAAAACCTGTATATCAAGTTGAATTGAGACTGAGCTTCGGTGCCGACGGACGAAGGGAAACATAGACTTTTGACCCATGTACCACCGCGTCTGTTTTTTTCTGCTTAAATATTCTTCGCTTCATATGCATTTGACGCCTCTTTCTCAGCCTCTACCTACAGACTCTTCACGCTTGTTTTACTCCACCTTTTCATCTCCATGGCTATTTTAGACCTGGTTCAACCATCACGTTCCGTTCACACCTCCTTTTTTAACACCTCTTCTCTCAGTACTTTCTTTACATACTTGCGTCATTCATTATAGGATCTAGGGAATGCAATCCCGCAGCAAAATCTCAATCCCGGTATTTGCGGGATCGTTAGAAGTTAGTCCCGCGGGATCCCAGTATTTGCGGGATTCCGCAAAAGTTTTAAATAAATTGGCAAATGAGCAATTTTGTACGGTTAACTTCTGTATTAAAATAAATCGCTAATTATCACAATATTCAACAAAAAAGTGAACTTCGAATTTTTGGTCGAAATTCTGACAGCGCTAATCCATAGCGCTGGTCGTGACCTTTCCAACGAGGGGTCGGAAGGCATATCTACGACGCACCGTTCTCGAGATATTACGGTTTGAAATTTCGACCAAAAATTCTGACAAACCGGAATATCTCGAGAACGGTGCGTCGTAGATATGCCTTCCGATCCCTCGTTGGAAAGGACTCGACTAGCGCTTACGATTGGCGTTGTCAAAATTATTGGTCGAAATTTCAAACCGGAATATCTCGAGACGTAGAATCCTCCATAATTTCAAACAGTTCCAAGATCGAGCTACTAGATCAAAAGTTACAGCCTTTTGAATTTTTTGTCGAAATTGGTTTTTTGCCCATAACTTTTGATTGAGACGCCTAATCGAAAAAGTACGAATCGTTTTGGATTCTACGCACCAAAATTAATAAGAAAAAGTTTTTTCTCGAGAAATTTTGGTGCAGTCGATATTTTGATAAAAAAGGAAGGTAAATAACTGCCTTTCTTTGGCCCGAAAAAAAAATTGTCTCAGATCGACCGGAAAAAAATATGTTCTTATACAATGTGGCCTGTAGAATCCATAATTTCAAACAGTTCCAAGATCAAGCTACTAGATCAAAAGTTACAGCCTTTTGAATTTTTTGTCGAAATTGGTTTTTTGCCCATAACCTTTGATTGAGACGTCTAATCGAAAAAGTACGAATCGTTTTGGATTCTACACACCAAAATTAATAAGAAAAAGTTTTTTCTCGAGAAATTTTGGTGCAGTCGATTTTTGGTAAAAAAAAGAAGGTAATAACTGCCTTTTTTTTTGGACCGAAAAAAAAATTGTCTTAGATCGACCGGAAAAAAATATGTTCTTATAGAATGTGGCCTGTAGAATCCATAATTTCAAACAGTTCCAAGATCAAGCTACTAGATCAAAAGTTACAGCCTTTTGAATTTTTTGTCGAAATTGGTTTTTTGCCTATAACTTTTGATTGAGACGCCTAATCGAAAAAGTACGAATCGTTTTGGATTCTACGCACCAAAATTAATAAGAAAAAGTTGTTTCTCGAGAAATTTTGGTGCAGTCGATTTTTGGTAAAAAAGGAATGTAAATAACTGCCTTTTTTTGGCCCGAAAAAAAAATTGTCTCAGATCGACCGGAAAAAAATATGTTCTTATAGAATGTGGCCTGTAGAATCCATAATTTCAAACAGTTCCAAGATCAAGCTACTAGATCAAAAGTTACAGCCTTTTGAATTTTTTGTCGAAATTGGTTTTTTGCCCATAACCTTTGATTGAGACGTCTAATCGAAAAAGTACGAATCGTTTTGGATTCTACACACCAAAATTAATAAGAAAAAGTTTTTTCTCGAGAAATTTTGGTGCAGTCGATTTTTGGTAAAAAAAGAAGGTAATAACTGCCTTTTTTTTTGGACCGAAAAAAAAATTGTCTTAGATCGACCGGAAAAAAATATGTTCTTATAGAATGTGGCCTGTAGAATCCATAATTTCAAACAGTTCCAAGATCAAGCTACTACATCAAAAGTTACAGCCTTTTGAATTTTTTGTCGAAATTGGTTTTTTGCCTATAACTTTTGATTGAGACGCCTAATCGAAAAAGTACGAATCGTTTTGGATTCTACGCACCAAAATTAATAAGAAAAAGTTGTTTCTCGAGAAATTTTGGTGCAGTCGATTTTTGGTAAAAAAGGAATGTAAATAACTGCCTTTTTTTGGCCCGAAAAAAAAATTGTCTCAGATCGACCGGAAAAAAATATGTTCTTATAGAATGTGGCCTGTAGAATCCATAATTTCAAACAGTTCCAAGATCAAGCTACTAGATCAAAAGTTACAGCCTTTTGAATTTTTTGTCGAAATTGGTTTTTTGCCCATAACCTTTGATTGAGACGTCTAATCGAAAAAGTACGAATCGTTTTGGATTCTACACACCAAAATTAATAAGAAAAAGTTTTTTCTCGAGAAATTTTGGTGCAGTCGATTTTTGGTAAAAAAAGAAGGTAATAACTGCCTTTTTTTTTGGACCGAAAAAAAAATTGTCTTAGATCGACCAAAAAAAAATTTCTTATAGAATGTGGCCGGTAGAGTCCATAATTTCCAACAGTTCCAAGATTGGGCTACTATTTCAAAAGTTACAGCCCTTTGAATTTTCTTTCGTAATTGATTTCTAGTCTATAACTTTTGATTGAAGAAGTCTAATCGAAAAAGTACGAATTGTTTGGATTCTACGCACCAAAATTAATAAGAAAAAGTGTTTTCCCGAGAAATTTTGGTGCAGTCGATTTTTGGTAAAAAAGGAAGGTTATACACTGCCTTTTTTTGAGGCCCGAAAAAAAAATTGTCTCAGATCGACCCGGAAAAAAAATTTTCTTATAGAATGTGGCCTGTAGAATCCATAATTTCAAACAGTTCCAAGATTGGGCTACTAGTTCCAAAGTTACATCCCTTTGAATTTTCTTTCGAAATTGGTTTCTAGTCTATAACTTTTGATTGAGAAGTCTGATCGAAAAAGTACGAATTGTTTTGGATTTTACGCACCAAAATTAATAAGAAAAAGTATTTTCCCGAAAAATTTTGGTGTAGTCGATTTTTGGTAAAATGCAAGGTTATACACTGCCTTTTTTTGAGGCCCGAAAAAAAAATTATCTCAGATCGACCCGAAAAAAAAAATTTCTTATAGAATGTGGCCTGTGGAATCCATAATTTCAAACAGTTCCAAGATTGGGCTACTAGTTCAAAAGTTACAGCCCTTTGAATTTTCTTTCGAAATTGGTTTCTAGTCTACAACTTTTGATTAAGAAGTCTAATCGAAAAAGTACGAATTGTTTGGATTCTACGCACCAAAATAAATAAGAAAAAGTCTTTTCCCGAGAAATTTTGGTGTAGTCGATTTTTGGTAAAAAAGGAAGGTTATACACTGCTTTTTTTTGAGGCCCGAAAAAAAAAATTGTCTCAGATCGACCCGGAAAAAAATGTTCTTATAGAATGTGGCCTGTGGAATCCATAATTTCAAACAGTTCTTCCAAGATTGGGCTACTAGTTCAAAAGTTACAGCCCTTTGAATTTTCTGTCGAAATTGGTTTCTAGTCTATAACCCTTGATTGAGAAGTCGAATCGTAAAAGTACGAATTGTTTTGGATTTTACGCACCAAAATTAATAAGAAAAAGTATTTTCCCGAAAAATTTTGGTGTAGTCGATTTTTGGTAAAATGCAAGGTTATACACTGCTTTTTTTTGAGGCCCGAAAAAAAAAATTGTCTCAGATCGACCCGAAAAAAAAATTTCTTATTGAATGTGGCCTGTGGAATCCATAATTTCAAACAGTTCTTCCAAGATTGGGCTACTAGTTCAAAAGTTACAGCCCTTTGAATTTTCTGTCGAAATTGGTTTCTAGTCTATAACCCTTGATTGAGAAGTCGAATCGTAAAAGTACGAATTGTTTTGGATTTTACGCACCAAAATTAATAAGAAAAAGTATTTTCCCGAAAAATTTTGGTGTAGTCGATTTTTGGTAAAATGCAAGGTTATACACTGCCTTTTTTTGAGGCCCGAAAAAAAAATTGTCTCAGATCGACCCGAAAAAAAAAATTTCTTATAGAATGTGGCCTGTGGAATCCATAATTTCAAACAGTTCCAAGATTGGGCTACTAGTTCAAAAGTTACAGCCCTGTGAATTTTCTCTCGAAATTGGTTTCTAGTCTATAACTTTTGATTGAGAAGTCTAATCGAAAAAGTACGAATTGTTTGGATTCTACGCACCAAAATTAATAAGAAAAAGTCTTTTCCCGAGAAATTTTGGTGTAGTCGATTTTTGGTAAAAAAGGAAGGTTATACACTGCTTTTTTTTGAGGCCCGAAAAAAAAAATTGTCTCAGATCGACCCGGAAAAAAATTTTCTTATAGAATGTGGCCTGTGGAATCCATAATTTCAAACAGTTCTTCCAAGATTGGGCTACTAGTTCAAAAGTTACAGCCCTTTGAATTTTCTGTCGAAATTGGTTTCTAGTCTATAACCCTTGATTGAGAAGTCTAATCGAAAAAGTACGAATTGTTTTGGATTCTACGCACCAAAATTAATAAGAAAAAGTCTTTTCTCGAGAAATTTTGTGTGGTGGTTTCAGACCACATTAGATAATAAGGCATGTAAATTAAGTACACCTTTAATTAAAGTAAATATAAACTTAGTACAGGTACGTTTATGTTGACGTTTAGTATTGTACTAGAAAATCCTAATGTGAATACATCACACGCCCCTTCTTAAACAAAATTAAAAAAATAACATTTCATTGGTATACTTAAATATTACATTATTAATCGGTCTGGTATTTTAACAAGTCTGCCACTTCTGGTATAATAGTCACTCGTCACAATCGGGTTTGTCTCACTGGAAGTAGTGCCCACTTTCACTTCAGGTTCGCACTTCAGAGTTTCTTCGCTCATCCGTCTGGGATTGATCTGTTGCCTATTCCGCCGGTAATCCGCTTCACCTATGCGAACAATGTAGTCGTTAGGGCCTGATTTCTTCATTACAACGCCAGGTTTCCAATTACGTATACCTTCTTGAACGAAAACGTCTTGTTGTGGCTCCAACTCATACAGCTTTTTCGTTGAGACGTCATAGTACGCCTTTTGCCTTTCTTGTAGAAGTTTTAGCTGATCCTTACTACCTCGAATTGGGAACTTAGGCTCGAGAAGTTTACAACTAACGGGTAAAGATGTCCTTAATCTTCTTCCCATCAGCAGCTCACTAGGAGAAGGTAAGTTTTGTTTGGCAGTAACATTATAATTTAATATGGCGGCGAATGGATCTTCTTTTTCTAGGAGACACTTTGTTAAAAGACTTTTTACAGTCTGTACTGTTCTCTCAACCATTCCATTAGATCTCGGATATCGAGGACTAGATGTAGTTAACTTTATATCATACCTATTTGCAAATTCTATAAAGTCCCATGAATTGAACGGAGGTCCATTGTCGGAAAATACTTCTTCAGGCAATCCATTAATTGCAAAAATATTCTTCAAGCAAGAGATAACAGTGTTACCTGTTTTGTTGGGCAATTTGTTAACCACAGCAAACTTACTAAAACTACTACTACAACTAGGAAATCTTGAGAGAATAGTGCTTTAAAGTCAATGGCAATTTTTTGCCAAGGTCGGTCAGGTACGTCATGTGGAGACAGTGGTTCTCTCGCATTTGACTTGGCATACGATTGACACAACTGACAACCAAGAACCATCTTTTCGATGTCTGATGACCATCCTGGATAATAGATGGCATCCTGGCCCAATTTCTTGCAGGCATTCACACCTTGATGGTATTTATGGATTAAATTTAGAAACTCATTTCTAAGACTTGCAGGTAAAATTAGCCGCTTTTGGTAAAAAGTAGGTTTTCGTGGAGATGTGTAGATATCATTTCGCACAGGCCAATACTGCTTCACACCGTCAGAAACTTGTATTTGATGTTTGGGCCATCCGTGCAATACATAATTTTTAATTTCAACTAATATAGGGTCGGCATGAACAGCCTCCTTTATTTTGTTTTCCGTTTCAGGTTTAACTGCTATAACAGAAAACAATTTGAACTTAGAATCCAAGTATTCGGTATTAATAATTTCGTCTGTGGGGTCACAACTAAGCGCATCTGGTACCTGAAGGCACTTTCCCGGAACGAACGAAAGTGTGAACTGATATCTAAGAAGGCTTATCGCAAGTCTCTCGATTCGCGGCGACATTTCATCTAGAGGTTTTTTTATTAGTCCAATAAGTGGACGATGGTCACTTTCGATTATAAAATTAATTTGCTCGCACAAATAGTAATTAAAACGCTCACAACCAAATACGAGTCCTAGTAACTCTTTTTCTATATGATTGTATCGTTGCTGAGTCTGAGTTAATGACACGCTTGCAAATTCTATAGGCCGATTATCTTGAGTGATAACTGCCCCTAGTCCATATGGGCTAGCATCTACTGATAGTTTGATCTCCTTTTTCGGATCAAAGAAATTCAAAGTTGTAGCTGAGGAGACTAATTGTTTGAGCCTATTAAATGTTGCTTCCTCAACCGAAGTCCATTGCCATTCTGTTTTTTCACTTAGAAGATTTCTGAGAGTATTGGTTTCGCTCGACAAATTTGGTTTGGAATAAACTTAAAAAGGTAGACAATCATACCAAGGAACCTCTGTAATTGTTTTTTACTTTTGGGTGATTTCATTTCACATATAGCACGCGTTTTGTTTTGATGAGGTGATATGCCACGTTCACTGATCGTATGACCCAAAAATGTTAGTTCCTTAACACAGAATTTAGATTTTTCACGATTTAGGGTAAGACCGCTATCTTTAATTCTTTTGAGAACACTATTTAGATTTTCGTTATGTTCTTCTACTGTTTTTCCGAAAACGAGAATGTCATCGAAGTAGTATCCCGCTACTTGGCCGAAACCTCCCGTTGAGTGATCGCTCGATTCATGCACTTGTCTGTAATCACTTTGTGGTCCACTACTGTTTTTGAACCGTTGCTTAAGCGCACTCACTGTCACATGTTCTTTGTTAATCTCTTTTTGAGTAAGAACACTACTCTCCATCGATCGGCAAGTATTTATCGCGTCACTCAATTCCAGGTTGGGATCTTGTAGGAGTCTTTCTTGAATTCGAGGATCTCTTACCCCTAACACGATTCTGTCACGTATTAAAGTATCTTTTTCCACAAACTCACAAGAACTCGCTAATTGTCTCAACGCGGTAATGAACTGATCAATTGACTCGCCTACAAGTTGCTCCCTTTTAAAAAACTTAAAATGCTCGTACACAAGATTTTTTCTTGGATTACAATAATTTTCAAATTTGTTAATTATTGTGGCAAGTTTTCTGCTATCTTCCTCCTCTGTGTACTCAAACGTATTGTACACATTAATTCCTTCATCACCCAACAAGTTAAGTAGAATCGCGATTTTTACATCGTCTTTTTTATCACTCTTCCCACTTGCTAATAGATAAAATTGAAATTTCTGATTCCACAATTTCCAATTTGCAGGTAAATCACCAGTAAACGAAAATGGTTCCGGAGCACGACATTGTTCCGCCATAATGCACTTCGCCAATAACTAATTAAGTTATTAATTTATTATTAAACATCAGATGTCCTGACTGATGTAATAAAATCGCGTATTTTTCTTTATAATCGAATTTATTCCGCACGCATTTATCATGCACACCTAAAACTTTTGTCCATTATCACGTACCACCTTATCTTCTTACAACACTGGTTTGAGAAGTCTAATCCAAAAAATACGAATTGTTTTGGATTCTACGCACCAAAATTAATAAGAGAAAGTCTTTTCCCGAGAAATTTTGGTGTAGTCGATTTTTGGTAAAAAAGGAAGCCTTTTTTTGAGGCCCTCAAAAAAAATTGTCTCAGATCGACCCGGAAAAAATTTTTCTTATAGAATGTGGCCTGTAGTAATTTCAAACAGTTCCAAGATTGGGCTACTAGTTCAAAAGTTACAGGCCTCCAGGACGTAGATTGTTGGCCCGAGTAGTTTGAACACTGATAATTAGCAACAGCGATTTAAATGTTAAAGTAATGAAAGAAAGAACTTTAATTATAGAATCAAATCAGTCTAAATTTAACGACTGTGGCCAAATTGGTATTCAAAATACGCAGAAGACTGTATGAGGCAATTATTACCTGTCAAATCTTGGTATATTATTTAAGGTCCTCGGTACTGTGCATAAACACCCAACAGTAGTAACAAAAATGCCAACGCGTTCTTACTTGAGTGTTAACTAATTTGAAACCTGCCCTGCTATTTTAATGCTTTGTCTCCATTAAAATTAACTTTGAATTCTTACAAATCCAGTCACCGTCATCGTTCACAATCAAAATTTCCCTCAATATACATGGAGTAGCTGAGGATCATTGACAGCAGCCACCGAGGGTTTGAATTGCGTTTTCAACGATCACGGCGTTGTTTTCAGTGATTGATTACTCCAATTGTCGCATTTCTACGTATGAGACGTCGAAAGTTGAATAGCCATTAAAAGTGACATCAATTATAGGTTTATAAATGACTAATAATTGCAAAACTGTTGCGTGTCCGAGACTCCACGAATGTATCATTATACTCAGAAAGTAAAACGCAATTCATTTTGATAAATTACCACAAATCCTTTGTAATCTAGAATTCATAAAGGACCTCGAATAAACAAGATTACCAGCATATTCCGTTATGGTGGCTATGTTGTTCTCTTAATTAAACAAATTAGCTTTGAGTGTTTGTTTCAGTAAGAAGCATTAAACTAGAAGCATCATCATCAGCGTAGTCAGCAAACTGAATACAATACAGGGACATACAAGGATACACGATATCGCTGCGATAGATAACACGCGAATCCACCCACCGATCTGGGGTTGATATATACGCGTCCACGGCACACTAATGGCCGCATGTTGATTGCGAGTTTTAAAGGGGACTGGATTTATAGCAGATCAGGAGTTTAGGGCCGCCCTATGCTCATTATTTATCAGCAAATCCTTTTAATACATTTGCTTGACTCGATATTACTGCTCCGGCATACACCAAACTGCTTACCAAATGAAAAAGTTTAACTTGAACTATCAATCGTCCACGCCACAAAAAAAAATCCCAACTTCGTCTTTCAATTTCTAGAATTATACCCCGCAAAATCGAACTAGATAATTTATGGATTAATATGCGAACTGTTTGTAAATTGGTAATCCAAGAGGGATTAGGCGTTGCAATTAATTATTGGGCCAGTGGGTATTAGTCATTGATCAGCTTAGAATAGAATCTGACAAAAAGTCCATTTTAGCATAGTTTCGCGCTACTATTAATTTTAAGGATAATGGCCAACTTCCATGTGGATTATCGAAGTAAATCGTGCATGCCAGATTATGTGGCTATCGAAAATTAATTGCTTCTCTAACTTTGAATGGAAATCAAAGGTTTTCATTTGTTTCAGTTTTTCCAGCGCTCATTTCCATTTTGAAACGAAAGCGCATCCTAGATAACTTTTTAATTAAACGTCACACATTAGGTATGATACTTTTTAAATGCAATACCAATGCTTACAAAGGGAGGAAATGAGAATATATAGTCGTTTTAAAGAGTGATTTTGATTAGAAATTTCAATTACCATCCATGTGATCCTTATGGTAGCCGCAAAGCACCTTTTTACTTTGTAGTCGAGTGTTTTTTTCAGAATAACAATCGTAGAGGAAAGTAATAATATCATTTTGGCTGGTTGACATGAAACACTAAAAATTAGAAACGAAGAATTTACCCCTAGCCCAATTAGTCCAGGCGAAATAGCTCTAAAATAATGTATTTTCAAAAAAAATTAGTTATCGGGCGAAACCGGGTTTTTCAGGCAAGTGAAATGATTTAAAATTGGGGAAAAATAATTATTGAAACAGCTGAATTTTTCCGCGAGTGAAGTTCCGTGGGTTGAAAGGGGTGGAAAGTGGTGTTTTGCAAATTGTGGCAAAACTATTCATTTTGGCGAAAATGGTCAATATAAAAGTTATAGAGAATAGAAAAATGAACAACTTTTGTATCTGGACTATTTTCGCATAACCTCCAATTTTCCTAGAAAAACCGGAAAAACTGCTTTTTCGTTTTTTATTTTTATTTTTGCGAAAAAAAGTCGTAGGGTTTGAAACATAGCTTGTTTTATTATAAAAAGGAAATAATTTTTTTGTGCCCGGAAATTTGAACCATCTCCGGAGATCTCACGATTCTCTCCCTTTTTCCCCGGAGATGAAAATTCTATCTAAGTTATGTGAAAGTAACCTTTACATTGAACATTTTCGCCTAAAATTAATAGTTTTACTGTATTGCCATTTTTCCGTTTTCATTTGACTCTTGGTGTTTACTATTACCCCCGGTTACTTTATTATATTCCTCCTCCCTTCCTATCTTGGCATTAAAATCCCCTAATACCATTTTGACATCGTGCTTGGGAGTTCTTCCAACCGCTTCATAGAGCTCGCTCTTAACTGTCAATTCTTTATCCTCCGTTGGAGAGTGTATATTTACTATTGTTATTTTTCTGTATCTCCCTCTCACTCGTAGTCGACAAATCCTTTCGTTTACGGCCTCAAAATCTACTATTGCAGCCTTGATCTTAGTGTTTATTAAAAAACTTACCCCTAGGTATTTACTCGTTCCTCCACTATTATAGAAGGTGTAGCCGTTTACCGGGATTACCTGTTGTCCTTTTTGTTTTGTCTAGTACCCCGTACGTTCCATGAGCCAACTCTGGTCAATTTTTTTTTCTGCGTTTTTGTTTCCCTAACTGAAATTCGTGTCCTTGTCCATAGCAATTTCTTTTCCGATCGCTCCCGTTTTCTTCTCCCTTGTTAGTTTGTTATATTGATTCGGCTAGCCTTCCGCAGTTGCTCCTCAAAGCTGACTCCTTCCGGCGATCTTTCATTCGCTATCCTTTTCTAGCTAGTACTCTTACTTCCGAGTTCACTGCGCATTCCATTATTTTCTTCTTCCTGTACGTTGTTTGCCCTATATACTTTATTATTTATTTTCAGCACTCTCTCGCGCCTTTGTTTCTTGCTTCCTTCATTTGTGGTATTAACCTCTTTCTTTCCAGCAGCACATCCTCGTTTATCCAGATATCCGTACCTTTTAATTTATTTGTGTTCTGAAAGATCCTTGTTCTAACTCGTTCTTTATTCAACTTTCCAATCTGTTTTGCTA